ACTATAGCCTGCACAGGGAAATTCCCCGTCCGCGACACAAGTGTGCTTGGCCTGTCACCGCACAGATTCGGCTGCCCACCCGAGATCCCGTCCTGCGCCGCCTCTCTAGCGCTCTTGCAGACGATGGCCTGCCGGCCCACAGAGTAGTCGTCTCGTCGCAATACCGTAATACTTACCCTGCTCTCTCAGGGGATGTGGGGGTCCTGGGCCGTGGGTGTTGTACGAGATCCTCGCGCTCGGCATATGGCTCCAGACTGGGGATCCGTGTTCTGCTTCCCTGGCTTGCTGCCCGCAATGCCGGCCAGGACCCAGACAGGTGGATGACAGGACCAGGCCCCGGTCACTTCTACATCCACCAGCAGGCGTCCCGCCCGGTCTTCCGGTGGAGTCTGCGGTCCGATTTGACGATCCCCAGAGATGGCGGTCGACTTACTCCAGCGCGCCAACCAGCCATGGTAGGCACCGTTGGAATCCCCCCGTGTATATGAAGTCCGCCACTCCCTCCGCCGCCGTTATACCCCGTAGTGTCTTCTGTTTCATCTTTCCATCTCGGCCATCTACTATCACCCGCCGCCCTGCTTAGGTTGGTCCTATTTGCGGGGGTTCGATATCGCCATCGTCACTCTACGTTCTCATCTCGAGAGTCTTACAACCACATCTGACACAATGGCCGGCCAGGCAAATCCTCTGGGGGGGAAGGAAATTGGACAGACGACAGGGGCCGCAGCAGCGGCCAATAACTTCAATAATGCCCATTACCGGGGCTACGATCCCCGAAACCCAATGGCCAACATTCACGCTGACGACGGCGTCCGACTGCCCGCCTTCGGTGGTGAGTTCCAACCCGGTCTTTGGCGGCCGTCGGAGCAGCGCAAGTTTGCCAACCCGGCGCCGCTGGGTCTATCGGCCTTCGCCCTCACCACCTTTGTACTGTCCTGCGTCAACCTGAACGTTCGCGGTATCACTGCGCCCAACATTGCCGTCCCTGTCGCCCTCGGCTACGGCGGCCTCGTCCAGCTCCTAGCCGGCATGTGGTAAGTCTCGAACACTCAAATGGCACACACAGGGGGCTCGACATCAGGACAAGTAAATCTGACACGGTGGTTCAGGGAAATGGCCGTCGGCAACACATTCGGTGCCACGGCGCTCTCCTCGTACGGCGGCTTCTGGATTGCCTACGGCATCATGCTCACGCCCCACTGGAACATCACGGGGCCTGGCGGGCCGTACCATACAGCCGCGACCGAGGCCGTCGACCCCAAGATGGCGGACTCGGCCCTTGGCTTCTTCCTCACGGGCTGGTTCATCTTCACGACCATTTTGCTTCTGTGCACGCTGCGCTCGACCTGGATGTTCTTCATGCTCTTCTTCACCCTCGACCTGGCCTTCCTCATGCTCGCCTGCGGACACTACGCCTCGGACAATGGCGCCATGGACTCGTCCAAGAGGCTTACTCAGGCGGGTGGCGGCTTCGGCATGCTCGCGGCCTTTCTCGCGTGGTACAATGCCTTTGCCGGTATTGCCGATAGCAGGTACGTTTTATTTTCCTTGGCTTGTAGATTTCCTTTCGCGCCGCGGCTGCCCGCCAACGATTAGCGTCGATTGGGTTGCATCTGCCAAGCGCGCCAGGGCACGCCACTGCCGTCACCCAAGACACTGCCCAGACATGGCCCGTTTGAGCCGCACGAGAAGATGACATCGCTGACGCAATTCGATCAACAGCAACTCCTTCTTCCTCATTCCCGTCTTCCACTTCCCGTGGTCTGAGAAGGGTCGCGAGAATAGGCTCGCTAAAACCGCTACCCGTAATACGGATGCGTAGATGAACTTGGTGTCTTTTCTGGGTCTTTTCTGGGTCTTTTCTGGGTCGTTTCTGGGTCAGTTGGATGCGGATCGGTTTTTTCTCGGCACGACTTGTTTATTTGTCTTTTTGTGTGGTGGGTATGCCACGTTCGACAGTTCAGCTGCTTCTTGCGCCTACGGGATTTTTTTACTGAAAGCCAGCATCGTGGGGTGGGTCGGTGTGACAGATATATGCTTGTAATTCCGCATCAGCAACAAAAGGAGAGCTTGCGGTTTCCCCGAGATGTGGATTGTGGGACGATTTTGGAACTCTGGACCACGGCCTAGCGATGGCGTCCTCCACACTCCTCCGCTCTCCTTCAGCGCCTTCCCCGGTTTCTGATCACTGCGGCAGTGCGCAGTGCAACTGCCGCAAACCTTGATCCCCGCTGACAGCACGCTTAAGGGCGGCTTTGGAGACGGTTGTGGGCTGGGCTGTGGAGAAGGGAATCTTGTAACTTGTTGGAGGTCCAACAGCCACTTTGCACAACGGTGATAGTAACCAGGTATAATAGACGGCGTATGGCACTGGTTGCAGCGAATTCTAGTAGGCTGAATTGACTATCTCACCACAAATGGCTGTGTTGTGCTGAATGAAATCTATTGCAGGTGCCATCTTGAGGGGGCCCCCCTAAACCCCCCTATCCGTAGGGGTAAAAACCGACCCCTGAGTCCACCAAATCCATCTGCTCATCTCATCTGCAATTCTGCTCTATTGATCCCAAAAAGAAGGGTTCTTGAACCCCCACTTGGGGAGCCCCCACCTGAGCTTGGCGCGCGTAAGGCCAAGTATTTTTGGAGGGGTCGGTCTGCCTGCCCATTATTTCAGCGGTGCCATCTCTCTGACTGACAACTTGAGATTGGCCGACTTGCGATCGATCAAAGTTCCCTGTCTGTGTTAGGGACGTCGCAATCAGTATGCAACTGCGAAACGTCAAACACCACCCTGATGCGCCTTGCGAGATCTATGCGGTGCTACTTAGTTGCGCTGCACACTGAATGCCATCTTGCTGCGAATCAGAGACGTGCGGTCAGACACCATCCGATGTCAAGCCGACATCACCTGATCCATCGCCATATCCATCCCCATCATCGCCGACCCAATTGATCCTCTCCTTTCCCTGTTTTCCCCCCATCTTGATGTCCACAACCGCCGCATGATCCGAATTGTTATGACGAGACGCCGTCTCCTGTCCATCTTGTTTCTGACCATTCTGATACCCCTCACGGCAATTCTGTACCACCATTTCGCCACGACGTTTTCCGTTCTAAAAACATCGCTAGTGAATATGGCGAGCCCCAGTCAACCCCCCGTCATCGTGGTTGGTGCGGGACTTGCTGGGCTTTCGGCGTCGTACTCCGCCCTCCAAGCCGGCGCCCGCTCGGTGCGTCTCCTTGACCGAGCCGCGAAGCCGGGAGGCAACAGCATCAAGGCATCCTCGGGCATCAACGGCGCGCCGACACGATTCCAAAATGCGGCCAAGTTCGGCGTCGACCAGTCGTTCTGGGACGACACGGTCCGGTCTGCCGGCTCCAGACTCCAGGCCTCGGTCGCGCAGCCCATCCGGACCCAGCGCGAGACCCTCATCTCGGTGCTCACCAACCGCTCGGCGTCGGCCATCGACTTCCTCGTAGACCTCGGCGTCGACCTCAGCGTCGTCGCCCAACTCGGCGGCCACAGCCTCCCGCGCACCCACCGCGGCGCCGGCAAGCTCCCGCCCGGCGCATCCATCGTCACCACCCTCCTCGCCAAGCTCAAGGAGCACAGCGACCGCTTCGAGCTCCTCACCGACGCCGACGTCACCGCGCTCCTCACCGCCGCGCCCGCCAACCACGTCACCGGCGTCGCCTACACCAAGGACGGCGCCCAGCACACCCTCGCGGGGCCCGTCGTCTTCACCACGGGCGGCTTCGGCGGCGACACGCACGGCCTGCTGCAGCAGCACCGGCCGGACCTCGCGGGCCTGCCCTCGACCAACGACCCGCGCCCGGGCGCCCACGGCCTGCTCTCTGCCGCGGGCGCCCGGCTCGTCGACATGGACAGCGTGCAGATCCATCCGACGGGGTTCGTCGACCCCGCCAGCCCGCAGACGGCCGTGAAATTCCTCGCCGCCGAGATGCTGCGCGGCGAAGGGGGGATCCTGCTGCATCGCGGCAGGCGGTTCGTCAACGAGCTGGAGACGAGGGAGCGGGTGAGCGGGGTGGTGATGGGCCTGCCCCAGGCGGCGGCGGAGGAGGGGTCCGGAGAGGGGCCCGGCCTGCGGCAGTGGGACGTGCAGCTGCTGCTGGATCCGGGCGCGACCGCGGCCGCGGCGAGGCATGTTGAGTTCTACCTGTGGAAGGGCCTGCTGGCGAAGAAGAAGGTGCGGGAGCTGGACGAGACGACGAGGGCCACGCTGGCCGAGTATGCCGCCGTCGTGCGCGGGGAGAAGGCGGATGGATTCGCGCGCACGGCGTTTGGCCACTGGAAGCTCGGGGCCGACGGCGAGGTTGATGGGGAGGCCGAGGTGTGTGTTGGCCGGGTGACGCCCATTGTGCATTTTACCATGGGCGGGGCCGTGTTCAACGAGCAGGCGCAGATCCTGGCGTCGGAGCTGGGCGAGGAACAGAAGCCGATTGGCGGGCTCTGGGGGGCCGGCGAGATTACGGGCGGGATTCACGGCGACAATCGGCTGGGTGGTTCGTCGCTGCTGGAGTGTGTTGTGTTCGGACGGATCGCAGGGGAGCAGGCGGCCAAATGTGCCGAGGGGCCCAAAGCTTAGAGGGTTGGCTGTGTTACGAACTCTCTCCTGAAGTGGTTTTGTGTTTAAAGTTTTTTATTTCCGGCTCAAAGTTGTTGGACCAGCACTCCGGACCTGCGTCCTGTTCGGTAACCTTGGTTGAGGGCTCAGTATATAGGAAGCAGACACTGCTGTCTTGAGTATTGATCCATGCTGAAAGGGGTCAACAACTGCTTGTTGACTCGACTTACATGCGCCCACGACAGGACTCGGGAATATATCAGACTCCATTGATATCCATGAAACCAGGGTTTGACATGGGGATAGACGATGAAGTGGTTGTAAGGTTTAAATACCTGTCATTCCTTGAACCAGACAATATCGGGGTAGCTGATTCTGGGGAGAAAAAAGACAAATCTACCCCCACGACAAAAGTTATGACAAGAGTGGGATTCGAACCCACGCCCTTTCGGACCACGGAATCTGTAAAGATTAGGATTAAGGGTAGTTCCTTAACGTGGCGCCTTAGACCGCTCGGCCATCTTGCCTAATGCTTGATGCAGGCACCCAGAATCAATTTCCATGCGCATGGAAGCTCGCCGTGTGAGCATCCCCTCCTTCCTCGTCTCCCAGGTCATCATTCCATACACTAGGTATCCATTCATCTGACATCTTCTGCATATAGACCCATATCTGGAGTGTCTCCTTGCTTCCTCCCACCTAGGGCCCATCACAACCCCCTTAGTCTTGCATTTTGCTGCTCTCTGCGCCGCTATACAGTCGGATCGTAATTGCCGCGTCGACGTTGCAGTCACAAGTCGTACCCTTGCAAGAGTGTTCGTCCTGGCTGCCGCAGATCTGCCCCCAAAGTCTTCCCGGAAGTCGATCACCATCATCCCCGTCCGTGGTCTTTCGGTGTCTCAGTCTCGGAAAGCTACCTAGTGATTGGGTTGTTTTTACAGGGGCTCAGGTAGCAGATCCAGCAGGTCGGGAAGTCGCTGTACCAGGTGGGACAGAATGCATCCAGCCTGCAAGACTTTGTGCAATCCGAGGCAACTGCAGTTTGTAGGGTAGGTAGTGTGATTGATGCGTGCGTAGCTGCAGGCACACTACAGGAAGCGAGATCCGGCCGGCCGAGAAAATATTGCATTCGATGGCACATTTTACAGTACAGATTAGTACTGTTGCGATTGTTGCTTTGTTGGTTCATGGTTTAGTGTTTGCGCCACTTCGCTCAGTGCCCCTCCGCCATCAACGTTGTCACGACTTCCTCTCCCCAACAGAATCCCACGCCTTCGCCACTGGAACATGGCAAGGGCAGAAACGACATTAAGAAGGGCCCCGGAAGAAATATCATCTTGTCCTTTCATGCAACCACATGGTGCTCGCTTATCTCGGGCATCGTCGCCAATCTGGCTCACGGCATCGTAGCAATTCCCCGTATCACATTATCCCAGCTCGTACACCGCTGAACGCCGCCAGCCTGCCGGCACCAGGGGAAACGGCTCAGGTGATGGATCTGATGTGATTGATATCCGGCGTGAGCCTGGCAAACAAACTGGAGAAGTGATAAGCCGTCAGGGTTGCGGGACACGGCCGACGGAAACCTGCCACGAGTCCGGCCCATCCCCAACGAGCGTCCCTTCCACGAGATGGGAGGCCCGGGAAGGACTCCCCGGTAGCTGCCCGGGAAAGATTCCCCGGTAGGTAGGTGCCAGTACCTCTCTCCCTTCCAGTTAAACATCATCAGGTGGCATCTTACCCATATAAGACCGGCACACACCCGCACGCGGCACAATGCCCTTTGAGTTCAGTTGAACGGCCCGCCTACTTAATCTAATACCTACCCACCCTATCCCATCTCTAATCATAATCCCGGGATACCTCGCCGCCGTTGTCGACCGCTTCTCGACAACCTCTTCGATTGCTTTTCTAGTCGCTCCTCCTACGAATCTTCCAAGATGCCGCTGTGCAAGCTTGCCATACCCTCCATGTCCCTGGGCCGGTGCTATGCCGGGCATTCGATGACGGCAAAACTCGATGCCGCCTACAAGTACGGATACCAGGGAATCGAGCTCTCCCATGAGGATCTCGCTGATGTGGCCGCGCGTCTGTCCCCGGAACCCCCATCGCTTACGGGCCCATCGCCGTCAGCACAGATCATCGCTGCCCGCCATATCCTGCGCCTGTGCCGGGAAAGGGGCATCGAGATCCTCTGCCTTCAGCCATTCAGCCACTACGACGGTCTCGTGGACCGGGATGAACACGAACACCGGCTGGAGCAGCTCGGGCTCTGGATCCAGCTCGCCCACGAGCTCGACACAGACATGATCCAGATTCCGGCCAGCTTTCTGCCGGCCGACCAAGTGTCAGAAGATCTGGGCCTCGTCGTGTCCGACCTGCGCGAGGTGGCAGACATGGGCCTGCGGGCTAGACCCGCCATTCGATTTGCCTACGAGAGTCTGTGCTGGAGCACCCGCGTCGACACATGGGAGCGCTGCTGGGAGGTGGTGCAGCGCGTCGACCGTCGCAACTTTGGCATCTGTCTCGACACCTTCAACATTCTCGGCCGCATCTACGCCGACCCAGCCGTCTCCTCGGGCCGCATGGCCAATGCTGAGGAGGCCGTACGAGAGTCGGTTGCCCGCATGGTTGAGCAGGTTGATGTCAGCAAGGTGTTTTATGTTCAGGTTGTCAATGCCGAACGCCTGTGGGAGCCACTTGTTTCTGGCCATCCTTTTCACAACGCCGAGCAGCCGGCGCGGATGAGCTGGTCTCGAAACTGCCGGCTATTTTACGGCGAGAAGGACCGCGGAGCGTATCTCCCCGTCATGGACGTCGCGTGGGCTTTCTTCCATGGCATCGGTTTTGAGGGCTGGGTCAGTCTGGAACTATTCAACCGCCGTATGGCCGACAAAGGGCCTGAGGTGCCTGAGGAGCTTGCCAAGAGGGGGGCCGTGTCGTGGGCCAGGCTGGCAAAGGACATGATGCTGTTGGTGGACAAGCCGCTACCGCCGCCCGCCAGGACATCTGCATTGCTGTACTGAACAGAGCGACAACGGACCTTGAATACACCGCAATGGGGGGGGGGGGGGGGGGGGGGGGGGGGGGGGGGGGGGGGGGGGCCTTTGGAAATTGGGTGGCGCGACCGACGCCACGAACGACTGTTTGCTGACCCGACCCAACGGGATGCTGCGGCTGGCATCGCGGTCCTCCAGGAAGCTGGGGGAGCAGGCTGTATCTGGTTATTTGGTACGTACCACTCTGACCCGCACCTGTCGCCCCTGAACGCGCCGGCGTACTTTTCCAAAGACCAGCAGGGTCGTTGAGACCGAGGCGGGGAGGGCAGGCAGGGGCCAGTCAGGGGCATGTGGGGAAACAAGACTTTAGACGTGTAGAGTTATAGAGATACATTGTAATAGAACTCTGCCTAGCAGAGTTGGTTGCGTCCGTTCGGGCCTCGCCACAAGGACCCCCAGGCTGACTGTCACTGGCCCGACTTTGTGGTGCAGGCATCCCCCAGAGAACTCTCTCGTGGATAGCAAGCATGTTTGGCTCGAGGGGTTGAGCTTGGCAAATATATATAGCTTTGACCCTGTCCTCACTTTCTCGGGCCAAGATATGGATCGGCGTGCCAAAGCATGACCAGGCGTTGCGCCTCCTGCCCGGAGCAGAAAATGTGCTGAGATGTGTCAGTATGCCCAATCCCGTGAGTCGGAGCTGGGAATGGCCGACATCCTGCTCTTGCTTGGTACAAGTGCGACTGCTCTGCAGAAGCCACCGGCACTTAATCCAAGCCAGGGAAGGCCGCACTCCTTTCCGGGCCACCTTTGACCCCTTTGGCACCCTTCTTCCGCTTCTTCTTCGACTGTCTCTTCGGACGCTCCTCCTCGCTGTCACTGTCATCCCCATCAGAGTCCTCATCGCTGTCTGCGGACCTCTTGATGCCGTTTTCTTCCTGCTCCTCTTCCGCACCGTCACGGGCCTCAGCTCCCCACTCGGCCCAGACCTTGACCGTCCTACCGCCGCCACTGATCAGCCGGTGCTGGTAGTCAAAGGTCAGGGCAGCGACACCCTCAACCTCGTCGTGCTTCAACAGCGCCTGCACCTCGCGCTGCTTCAGATCGACAACGGCGATGCTGCCATCGCCAACGCCAACAACCACCTTCTTGCCCCAGCCGAGCTCGTCCGGAGCCCGGACAATGGCGTCCAGGCTGTCGCCGTCCCCCTTCTTCCTGCCCCCGGAAACATGGATACGCTCCTGCTGGTCGTCCCATGCCCCGCGGTCCCAGAGCGTCAGGACGCCGCCGCCGGTGCCGACAGCCACAACCGCGTTGTTCCGCATGCGCTTCGGGCCCAGGCCGGTCGGGATGATGGTGGAGCAGAGGAGCTCGTCCTCCTGGTCCTCCGACGTCGCGACAATGCCGCTCCTGAGATCCGTGACGGCGAGGGTCGTGCCGCCCGTCGACACCCACTGCTTCGGGAAGCCGGACGTGCTCTCGGCCGAGGCGGGGAGCGGGGTGATGCTCGAGATGTAGTCGGCGTGCGGGACGTGCTTGCGCACCGGTTTGGGGTTCAGGCTCCCGTTCTCGCGGAGGTCGAAGATGTAGAGGCCGCCCGAGTCGGTGCCGAGCAGGAGCGTCTGGGGCGAGAGCGGATGGATGATGGCCGGGCAGTCGGTCGTGCTGGTGGCGGTATTCCGCGGCGGCAGGCCAATCTTGGATATGACGATGCCCGTCTCGGGGGAGAAGTGCTTCACGACCGAGTCGGTGCCGGCCGAGTAGAGCGCTAACGTGGCCATGGTCAGTGCTCGTCGTTGCGCGATGGAACCCCCCCGTCGATGCGATGCGACCTACCCTCTCCGTCATGGCTGTATGCAAGGTACCGGCAGCTCCCCTTGTGTCGGTGGGTGCTCCATACGCTCTTGATCAGGCCCTTGCCGCTATTGGTGCTTGCTCCGTCGTCGTCGTCGCTCGGCAGGCGGAAGCTCTCGACGCGGCCGTTGGACAGGCCGACGGTGAGCAACGGCCTGGAGGGGTGCGAGACCTGCGTGAACAGGTCTGCCGACAGCGGGAGGGTACAGAGGTTTTCCAACATGTTTGAGGCCAGTGTCGCCGTCTCAGCTCATATCGACGGAAGAATCCAAGCGCAACTCGGAGGAAGACTATTATCGGAAACTTTGAAACGACTGGCCAATCGCGGGAAATTTTCTAAGCATCTCAGGCAGGTGTCGCTCTTGCCGCTTTGCGCTAGTGCATGTGAAATACTGCCCAAGTGGGCTTAGTGATCTGCAGCATGGAGCCAGTTGAGAAATGGGCCTCTTTCGTCACCACGACTTTCCAGCCTTGGTTTCTGCGTGCAGTGACCGACATAAATTAGTATGACGGCTTCACGGCGGCTGGCGAAAGAGATGAATCTACTAGTTTAGTACCGGAGTACATGCCACTCTGGCACTCAATAGACCCGAGGCCAGCACCACCTTCTTAGATCACAATAAATATCCTACCTAGTTCCCCTCTTCCCCTCGCACTTTGGCCCGGGTTTCGAT